TTTATTACCAGAGATTACGTAAACCCTATTACGACCGAGGAAAAAGGTTATCCATGACTATGGATCTCTGCTCCACGAACTGTAAATAACTTGATTGCGAATGTCGACGTTCGACAAAAGGATACGTTCAAGTGATATCCGATTTAACCTTACCAAGGAATTTCCCTTTTTCTTGGCCTACGTTCCTCTCGATAAATTCGATCTTAGATATGAATTCGCTCCGTTTCATCAAAGCCATTGCGCTGCAAGCTTTTTTTACTCACGAACACTCGGAAAACTTGGAAATTTAATACGTATATATATATATATATATATATATATATATATATTTATCTGTCATTTTAAGGTTATTAACGTTTATTAAAATTTTACAGAAATATAAAATGAAAAAAATATGGTACAATAGAATTCCTCACTTCCATTATCCGAATATTCTATTATCTGAAAGTTCTGTTATGAACATCCGTTTCATATTGATATTTATATAATCTTGTGTATATTTTTCTGTATTCGAATGAATCATCTAGTTGTAATTTAATATTGAAGGTAATAATATATGGTATAATAGTGATTATTAAAAAATGAAAATATTTAATCCTAACTATTGAAAGAAAATACGAAGTAATTAAAATGCTGAGAATGTAATAAAATTAATGAATATAACATGGTTTCGATGATCATAGATATTAAGAAACAAAAATTTTGATATCGAAGATTGTATTTATTGCTATATGTTTGACCGATTAATCACAATAAAGAAAATATATCGATATTTGCAAAAATAAATAATTTTCCAAAAAATAAAGAAAGATTAATTACGCATAATTGGATGAAACGAACAAGTTAAAGATGAACTTAAAAATAAAAATAATATATATATATCATCCAATATTTCTTTAAAATCGTAAAAAACTTAAAAATTTGATTCAATCACTGACAAAAACGAGACGATATTAAATAATTCACTTTTATGATAAAGTATTAAAGAAGATTCGCGATATAACAAGTATCGATAATTACAATAAGGTCAAGTACCTCGAGAATGAACTAGGGAATCGAACTGTAACGAGGAAGTTACATAATCGAAAGTTACGAAAAAGAGAATCGTGAAAAAAGAAAAAGGCGGTTTGAAACGAAGGCCGAAAATAAAAAGAAAAAAGAGAGAGGGGGAAAGGGGAAAAAAAAAATAAGGAAACAAAATGAATTTTGCGGTGAAAGTTCATCACGCTTGAGTAAATTTTTCTCCCCTCATTTAATGATCCTTCCGCGACGTTACTATAGCCTCGAAGTAGTTCTCGATGCGGACTCGTGGCCCTAATAAACGCCATTCAAAAAGTCTGGTGAAAGAGGTGTGAGGGGAGGAGAAAGGAAGAAGAGTGAAAATAAAACGCAGAGTAAAGCAACGTCTCTTCAACTTGCTCGAATAAAAAGATTTAATGAGCTTATTATACGCGAATTAACGTACACTAATAACGCGTTCCTGGAGCCTCTCGACACTCGCTAACGATTTCTCCTAGGAAAGGGAGAGGGTCACGTTGTTTTATTTGCACATCGACCTATCATAGCTGTGTAAAGGCAAGAGTGGCGTCGCCTTTGATGTTTCTAATGGCCTCGTGCACAGCAGATTATGCGTCAAATAGTAACGATATTTGACAGCGTGATTACGATTTTCAGGAACGAAACATAAGACTGTGTTCAAAATGGCGCCATTCTCTTCTGATGAAAAATTTGTTACATCAAATACGAAGCAACATTGACGTTCTTTTGATAAACTGTATTATCTTTTTGATATATAATTTGGAAAGCAGAGACATAACTTAAAGACATAACCTATACCTCTACTTTTCGAGAAAAAAAAAAAAAAAAGAAATTTCTAATTACAAACAATAACCGAATTAAAACACTACTATTTATTTTTTCTACTTATTATAACAACGATTAATTGGAATATTATCATATTAATTTAATACGACAAATAATATCGCGTCTCAATAAGAATACTCTTAAAAACGTAGCATAAGAAAATTTTTTTTCCTGCTTCGTTATCGTATGACGAAATTAAGCATGCTAACGATTGGATCAGACACGTCTCTCCAAATTCGATGTGTTTACTTTGTCGTTGGTGTACAGTTCGCTTTTTCGAGGCAAATCAGCATCTTGTCGATCGTCGGCGAACGTGGTGTAAGCAACGTTTGAGATGCAAAACAACGTTTCGGCATTAACGAGCGTGTGTACACGTGTATCCGGGCACGTGTGCAAAACGAATGAGAATGTCCCGTATACGGGTCAGAATAGGCGAGAGAGAGAGAGAGAGAGAGAGAGAGAGAGAGAGAGAGAGAGAGAGAGAGAGAGAGAGA